ATATATATATTGGGAGTACAAATTAGTTCGGTCCGTTTGCCTAAAAATAGCTCCAGCTGTTGTGAATGGTTCATAGCGACAGCTGATTTTGGCGGTTTTAGAGCGATTAAACATCTGCTAATAATATTCAGTTTATATCGCTTTGAGTTTCATATAAAAACCTTGATTTTTACTGTGTTTGAAATGTCGAATTTTGTGTTAACCAAGCAACATTTGCGGGAGGTTTTGATTTTCTGCTTTAATTGGAAGAAAAGTGCAGCTGAAGCCCATCGAATGCGTGTCGAAGTTTATGGTGACACTGTTCCAATTGATAAATCATATAACAAATGGTTTCGACATTTTAAGAATGAAGATTTCAGCGTTGAAGACAACCCTCGCTATGGACAGTCAAAAAAATTCGAAGATAAAGAATTAGAGGCATTACTCGAAGATTAGAGTCAAACGCAAGAGGAGCTTGCAGAATCATTGGGGGTAACTCAACAAGCCGTACGATTGAGAGCCATGGGAATGATTCAAAAACAAGGAAATTGGATGCCTTACGAACTGAAATCGAGAGACGTTGAAAGGCGATTTTTCATTTGCGAACAGCTGATTCAAAGACAATAGAGAAAAGGTTTTTTGCATCAGATTGTGACTGGAGATGAGAAGTGGATATTCTACGACAACCCCAAGAAGAAAAAATACTACGCCAAGCCCAGTCAATCGACCTCAATATCAACATGGCCGAACATTCATGGTTCGAATCGTGCTCTGTATCTGGTGGGATCAAGAGTCTTGTTTACTATGAGCTGCTGAAATCTGGCGATTCCATTATGGGCGATCGGTATCGGCTACAATTGATTCGTTTTGAGAGAAATGTGCATTGCGAGAAAAACGGCCAGAATACGAGCAAAGACATGATAAAGTTATTCTTCATGACAACGCTCGGCTTCATGTCGCTAAAGTCGTAAAACAATATTTGGAAACGCTCAAATGGGATGTTTTACCGCACCCGCCGTATTTTCCGGACATTGCTCCTTCTGATTACTGGTGGTTCCGAAGGATGCAGCAAGTCATCGGTTCACTTCTTTCGCAGAAATCGAAAATTGGATCGCCTCCAAAGACAAGTCATTTTTTCAAGATGGAATTCGAAAATTGCCTGAGAGATGGGAAAAAATAGTAGGCAGCGAAAAATAGTAGGCGAGCGTATTTTAATTGATCTGTTCATTCATTTTGTTTTGAAATAAATGCATTTTTGAACAAAAAAAACTAATGTGTACTTCCAATATATATATATAT